TATATATATACATATACATATACATATACATATACATATATATATATATATGTATATATATATATATATATACATATATAAGTACCAATACACAGTGTACCCACCTGGGAGTGTGCGTGCATGGTCTCCAGCACTTGCAGCCGTTCCTTCTCGTTGGTTGGTGTGTTACTTTCTGTCACCAGTGCAACATCCGCTTCTTCGCCCGAGTGGCCGTATATTTCATAGCGAATGGCATCAGACGAGTTGTCAAAGCTCTCCATGATCTGTGGTTTAGGGATTAGGGTTTAATATGAGTGGAAAGAGATAGAGGGAAATAAATAGAATATTCTCCATAATTTTTGGTTTAGGGTTTAGGGTTTGATTTGACTGGAAAGAGATAGTGATATGACTATAAACACCCTCTAACGGCTGTAAAATACAAATGTGTCGATGGTAACGTAAAAGAGTGGCATTGGATGAACAACAAAGTTTGTTTGATCTGTCGTGAGCAAAACGTTTACATCCGGAAGAAAAGTGATCCCACACAAAAAACATATCTGTACCTTTCTATATGAGCGTATATAAATACTGGTACACATTTCCGTATCTACATTCGGATACCCCAAATGACTTGTATACAAATAAAGTGTGTGTTCATAGATATGCCATGCACACACAGCAAACCATGTATATATTGCCATTGTTTATACTATACATATATATATATATATACATATATATATATATATATGTATAGTATAAACAATCGATTAAGAACAACCCATTTAATATGCACACAAATAGAATACAGTGTGTGGTCACACACATACCATGCACGCACAGTCGATCATGCGGTTGAGTCGTCCGTCGAAGCCATTGAAACGGTACATCGATCCACTCAGATCCATAACAAAGCGAATGCGCTTGGGATTTTGCTGACGTTCTCCTGCATACGTTGAAGTGTAGTGGTTGTTTGGGGAGAGTCAAGGTTTTAAGGTCTAGGGTCTTAGAGTTTAGGGTTTGAGAGTTTTAGGGTCGATTTAGGGTTTATAAACAAACCCTAAACCCTAAAACTTGGGGAAAGCCAATTACATAACTAGCAAAACACGCTGATTTGGAACATGGTGTTGTCTCGGGTCTAGTGTACCTACATGTGCATATATACACGTGGAAATGCACCATAAATGTATAGACCAGTACATGCTATCATACAGGTATAGTACCAAAAAACATGCACAGGTACGTAAACGCAAATGTATTTCATGCAACGGTATAGTATACCTGCGATGGGCGGCTGTTCTCCTCGGCGTTTGTAGATGTTTGATTCGCCTGTGACACCGTCAATCAGCCTGTTGTCATCTAGATCACCGGTTGATTCGTTCTGTGACAGAGGTTTCAAACATACATTAGCATATATCCGTGCATACACATATGTG